AAATAAGCCATCTAACTTTACATTTGAAGGAACTAGATAAAAAAGAATAAATTAATCAAAAATCAATAGGAAGAAGGAAATGATACAAACTAGAGCAGAAATAAATAAAATAGAAATCAAAAAGAAGACACAAAAATTTCAATGAAATCAAGAGCAGTTTCTTTGAAAGGATAAAACAAAAATAGTAAACCCTCCCTGGTGGTACAGCAGGTTACAGCACAGCACTGCGAGCTAGCTGCAGCCGCTTCAGTGTAAGTCTGATTCCCTTCCCCCAAAGTGACCCACATGGCACAGCAGACCTCTCCTGTCTTGCCCGCTGTCCCCCCCAGCAGTGTACTTCATCAATCCAGCTGCTCTCCTCCCCATTCTGTCACTGGTGAATCCTCTCACCACCCCTGTACTTCTGACCTGTACCCCAGTTCTGTATGCATAAATAAACTTAAAAAAAACAACAACTGGTAAACCCTCAGATAGTATCACTAAGAAAGCAGAGAGAAAACCAAAATGAAAAATGAAAGACTAACTTACAATAGACATTACAGAAACACAAAGGAGTAAAAAAGACTACTATGAACATCAATATCCAAGTAGAACAAACTAGAAGAAAAGGACAAATGAACAGCTTGAACAAACCGATCACAAAAACAGAAAGAATAATCTATTGTTCTCCCCAGAAAAAAGACCCAAAACCAGATCACTTCACCAAACTGTAAGAGAAAACCTAATACCTATCTTTCTCAAACTTTTCCAAAAAACTGAAGTGAGGAAAATGTTTACAAACACTTTTCATGAGGCCAACATTGCTTTGAGCACAAAGCCAAATAAGGACTGCACAAAAAAAGAAAACTACAGACCAATAGCTCTGATGAAAACAGATGCAAAAATCCTCAACAAAATCTTGGCAAATTGAATTTAGCAACATATTAAGAGAACCATTCACCATAATCAAGTGTATTTTATTCCAGAGATGCAAGACTGGTTCAACTTAAGTCAATCAACATCATTCATCAAATAAACAAAAAGAAAAAAAAATCACATGATCACCTCAAAAGCTTCTGAAAATCATTGGATAAGATATAACACCATTTATGATTTTAAACTTAGTAAAATGGGAATAAAAAAAACTTATCTCAGTAGTATGACAAACCCACAGCCAAAGATATACTAATGATGAAAAACTGAAAGCATTTCCCCTAACATCAGGAATAAGACAAAGATGTACATTGTAACAGTACTGATTGACATAACATTGTAAGTCCCAATCTGAGCAAGCAGTCAAGATAAAAGACACTTAAAAGACTCCAAATTGAAAAAGAATAAATTCCAAGATGACATGATAGTGTACATGGAAAATTAAGAAAAAAAAAAAAACTCTACCAAGGAAGTACTAGAAATAATAAATGAATATAGTAAAGTGGCAGAATATAAAATCAATATACAAGAATTTCCTAATTCTTTATGTATGAATTAGGAAAAAGAGAAATTAAGAAAACAATGTATGAATTAGGAAAAAGAGAATTAAGAAAACAATCCCATTTAAAATCAAAACCAAAAGGTAATAAATTTGACACAGGAGGTGAAGGATTTATACAATGAAAACTGTAAGACACTGTTATAGGAAATAAAGAAGACACAAAGAAATGGGAAGATATCCTTCCATGGAGTGGAAGAATAAACACTTAGAAGTTATATTACCCAAAGGAATGTACAGCTTCAGTGCAATACCTATCAAAATTTTGATGGCATTTTTCAAGGAGAAAGAACAAAATTCTAAAATTATGTGAAGCCGCAAGACTCTGAATAGCCAAAGCAATTCTTAGAAAAGAAGGGTTGCCCAGGAAAGTGAGGGTCTGACTGCAAAACTGTTGGCAGCCAGAGACCCCACAGGTCCCCACCCTGGGGAAACTGGCTAAAGGCAGAGGGCTCCAGAAGAAAGGTTAAGACACATTATGTAAGAGAAGGGACTAGCAGCATACAGAGACTCAGTGATCTTCAGGGACAGTGCCCATCAGTCCATCCACAGCATCACTGTCCTTGTGAAGTCTTATGTGACAGCACCAAACTCTGTCTGGCCACCACTACCAGTGGCCCAGTTATTCAAAACCAAACAGGGAGAAGTGAAAATACAAATAACCAAACAATCCCTCTGGGTAAGAACACACTATGAAAAGAAAATCAGCTCCCAGAATTTAATAATGACATGATAGAACTTCTCTTCCAGACAGAGAATTTAGAAACGCCATGATTAAAAATCATAAAGAATACACAAAGGGAAAGAATGCTATGACAATGAGGACTGAGGAATGAATTTGCATCTTTAAAGAAGGAAATGGAGGGTATTAAAAGATAAATGGAGGAGCTAACAAACTCTGGGAAAAGTATCAAAACAGAACTGATGAAATGGAAGTACAGATCAGTACTCTTATAGATACTGATATAAAAAGAGAAGTGCAAAGGAAAAAAAATGAAGTAACACTTTTTCGTGTCAGACTATCTGACACTATGAGGAAAGGAAATATATGAGTCCCAGAAGGTGAGAGGAAAGAGACAAAGGACTGAGAAACTATTCAATGAGATAATCAAAGAGAACTTCCCAAGCACGAAGGAGATAACAGACATACAGGAAGCTAGACTCAACAAACTCCAAGTCAACAAATACCAATAAGAATACTCTGCCTCACAAAGCTCTCCTTTTTCTATGAAGGAAAAATAAGGGCCTTCTCAGACAAACAGAATCTCTAGAAATTCTTTACTACTAAAACCTCACTCCAAAAAATAGTACAACCAGGCTTAAAGCCAAAAACAAAAGCAGAATGATTATGAAAAACAGACTAAGATAAGGAATAGAATCAAAAAGACAAACAAAAAGAAGCAGAAAAAGAACAACAAAAAATAAAAACCCAAAAGCCAGTAGAAGAAAGAAAATAATAAAAATCAAAGCAGAAATAAATAGAAACTTAAAAAAAAAACCCAAAAGATCAATGAAACCAAAAGGTGGTTCTTAGACAAAATAATCAAAATAGACAAACCTCTAGCCTGGCTCCCAAACATATGATAGGAGAAAACACATGAAAGAGGAGACATTACAACTGACTCAGCAGAAATCCAAAGAATCAGAGATTACTCTGAACATTTATAAGCAAAGAAGTTTAACAATCTAGAAGAGATGGACAAATTCCTAGAACTATGCAATCACCCAAAGCTAGATAAAGAACTGAAACAACTAACAAAACAACTACAAGCACTGAAATTGAAACTAATCAAAAATCTCCCCCAAACTGACCAGTTATGAGTCTGCGGAGCTAGCGCCATCCCATCCCAGGGAGGGCCAGCCCAGCCCTCCTGCAGCCAGTCTGGTCACACATGGATCCAGTCACTGACCTATTGGGGCAGATGCAGATGTCATGCATGTAGAACTTGATGGCCTTGGACTGCTCCTTGTTTTTGAAATGGTAATCAGCCAGGAGGTAGTAGAGCTCATTCACCACTGGAGGAGAGGGGTCAGCCCCTTCTGGGAGGCAAGGCACCTGAAGGAGTAAGAGGTGAGGAGGGGACAAGAGAAACTCAGGTGTGACAGTAATGCTACAAACCCAGGGCCATTCCCATCAGCATAGGATACTCTCAGTTTTCATGGCCCTGATTTCTGCTGCAAAGCAAAGGAAGAAGCCACAGCACATAGGCAGCAGTGCTAAAAGAGAAGGTGATCGGAAACACTCCCACCTCCCTCAGCTCCTACCTCAGTCGAGGTCCCCTCAATGTAGGCAGAGACTTTGTCTAGGCTCAGGGCCGGCCTTTCTGTGCGGGGCACAATGGTGGCAATTCTCTTCAAGAGGTTGGCCAAGTCGGCAGATACAGTACTTGTCTTATAACTGTCAAATTCAGGAAGGGTCTTGGGCTTAAAATATTCAAACATGAACAAAGCATCCTCCCATATAAGGTCCACCTTGAAAAAAGACAGAAAACAGATCATAGTGCAGTCATGCTAAAAGCACAAAGGGAAAAAATATTTACCTTTATGGTAACACGATCTTGATAAGGTCACAGAATATTAAACATGAAAATAAGGTCACAGTATATTAAAGAAATAAAACAAATATCTGAAAATTTTGTATGCCCATTATAACCTCCCAAACCCAGGTGTCCAAGGAGTAAAAAAATAAACTGGTCTTAATGACAACAAATGTCAGAAACTGAGAGATGAACTTTTAGTTCATGTGGCTGAGTGAGAGGGTGGGTTCAATTATGAGTAGGGACCTGAGGCAGGCCACTGACCCTCACCATGCGATAACACCCCAGTGACCATTTTGTTGACAAAGACTGACCACGGGCTTATTCTGGGCCAGCATAGGTTCCTACTCTGTGTGAGAGCTCTTACAGGTGCCCTGATCAAAAGAGCTTATATTTCAGAATGGAATCCACCATAGGTTCAGAAAATAACTGATAACACCAAGGAGGCAACAAAAAAAAAAAAAGAAAAGAAAAAGAAAAGAAAAAGAAAAAAATTTAAGGGAATATTTGTATTATACAAATTGGGGGAAAAAAAATTGAAAATTGCCATACTACATACTTGAATGATTATATACTACATAGTTGAATGATAGTCAACATTTTTGATGCTAGTTTTTGCAAGGAAAAGCATTTTCCTTGCATTAGACTATGTCAAGACATCTCTCATCCTCCTGATGCAACTCCAACCTGGGACTGTGGGATTGCATGTTGGCCAACCTGATGTACTTCACAAACACGGAGTCTCTGCTTCCCTGTGCGTCACTCCTCTGGGGTAAAGTGGGTCCAGTGCATCTGTTCTAACACCCTTACCTGCTGAGCTGAGTGCTCCTCCAGGTACCTGGCCTTACTCTTCTTGCTGGGGAAGCTATACAGGCAGTAGAAGCACTGCTCCAAGGCTGTCTCCAGCTCCTCCTTGTAGGGATGTGTGTCTTCTGAGGTAGACACAGCAAGCTCCTTCTGGAGAACTCGCACCTATAGTATTCAAGAAGATACCCCTGAAGAGACCTGATTCAAAAGGGGTCCAAGAAGGTATTTGGTCTAACACTTCTGATAATCTGGGGGGGTGGGGGGGCTGTGTCTGTTTGTCCTGTTTCTTGGAAGGGGGCTATCACCTTCACTGGGACTATTCTGGGCCCAGCTATGGCAGTAGGTCCTAAGAAGCTTGCCAAATTGCCTTCCTTCCAGTGTCTCTAATCAGTTACACCAATTGCTAGTAGATACTCATTATATGCCCTCTGGAAACTTCTTCACTCATTTATTTAGCCATTCATTTGCTGTCCAACTATCTACTGAACATCCCTTTACAGTATGCATGGTGTAATACAGTCCTTTGCTTTTAAGAACCTCAATTCTAATGGAGGTGCAGTTAATTAGGTAGGATGTAAGATGGTAAATGCTATTAAAGCTGAGGGACTCTCATACAGTACTAACTGTTGTAGTAGGTACTTGGATCCAGTAATGAACAAAACTAACAAAAATTCCTGCCTTTGTGAAGTTACATGTCAATGTGAAAGAGACACAACAAACATAAAATATAAATGACATGGCATGCTAGGTGATAGAGGTGCAGATGCAGAATAGGTATACTCACTGAAAAAAAGACATAGAACAGAGTAAGTTTAATTAATTTACTTAACTAAAGTAAATTAATAGGTGTGGCTATGGTTTACTAAATATTTATTAATAGACACTACAGGCTGGATTGGGTACTCCTCCCATTCCCTGTAATCTGTACGTGCTGTTTGGCCTCACATTGAGTAGTGAGGTTTGGTGACAAAAATAATGCTGCTTATCCCCAATAAACCCCGTTAGAAAGTACAAGGCGACCTATTCATGCTCACTAAATACTGACTGGATGAAAACAATAGCTGTTGATTAACTACTAACTGGTAAGATGAGTAGTGCTTGGCAAACAGGACTCAAGAGAAGGTATTGGTGAATGTAGTTGTAACCTCTGGAATTACTGACACCTTAATAGGACTCAGTAATGACAAGTAGCTCTGTATCCACCACCTTTGCAGTTCAAGGTCAGGACCTGAGGCCTCAGGTCCACAAGGTAAGCAAGTTAAAAGTCCTTCTGACAACCTTTAAGTAGTCACTTACACATGGAGCTTCAAAGAAGCACAGTGGACCTTAGCCTAAGGAGTAAGAGGGGTCTAGTAAATCCTAGAGCACCAATCCACACCGCCCATCAGCCCTAAACAGGAGGGATGAGCTTACATAGAATCGCAGTAGAGCCCCATCTGAATTGCAGCACCAGGACCTTCTGCCCAAGTACTCATGGGCTGTGTTGAGCAGCATGAGGGATGAGGGAAGCATGGGCGTCTCAGCCATCACTAAGGAAAGATCAGACCAAAGTTAGCGCAGAAATAGATGTGTGGCTCTAGCTCTCCTATGTGAGTCTTTCTGTCTTAACTGAGGTAACATATTTTTCCCCTGTCTTTTTAAATGAGGAATGGCTTAACTGGTTATACTAAAGTAGTACATACTGATCAAAAACAATTTAAAATGTACAGAAAACATAAAAAAGGAATGCCTCATTTACTATATACCAACCCTCAGAAAGCCTGATATATGGTCAACTTCACTGGAAGCAATTTTCTGTGCATTTATGAGACATTTTGTAAGAGAAATAATTTATAACAGTCAAATCCTTATTACATATACCATTTCTTAAACATTCATATATTTAGGCCTATTTGAATATTTCAGAAGAAAAAACAAGTACCAATAAAATTTCAGTTAAATGTCTGTTCAGTGCCAGAACTACTACTAGCTTCCTTAAAGATTCCTCTGTTTTTGAAATTCTGGGCAACGTAACCCATTAGTGGACTTGTAACTAGTATTTTTTTTTTTAATCTATAAGCACTTTTATTTTTCAGATAGCTGCACAGTGATCTGAAAGAACAGAGGGCATAACTCCCTGAAGAGATCGTTCTCTCGTGGCCTTTGATCTTAGAGAATAGAGACCCTCATCTCCAGTTGGCCTTTTTATAGTGATTTAAACAAAAACAGTCATAAGCAAACAGCCCATCAGAACAGTCCATTATAGTTGATGTTCTTGGTATTTGTCATGTTTGCCCCCAGAGTTTGTTTTAGGCTTCTCAGTTATCTTGACTTTGGTACATCCTGGCCTGCTTGGTTTATTCTTGATAGTGTCAGTGTGTGACGCTCATTTAGACATCATGAGGGCAGGAATTTCAGTTCAAAGAAAGAGTTTTAGTTTAAAAAAAACAGAACATTAGTCATAGATGGTGAACTGATGGTGGGAATTTTACAGGTACTACACCTGAAAGGAGAAAGCATACATTTATGCTCTTGCAAAATGCCTAAATACTCTCCTACTGAAGATGTGCCTTGGGGGATGCTGAGCCACGGCAAAAAATCCCCAGGGAGCGTGTGAGAAGACTGAAAACTCCATTCTGATTGTCCTCACTGGGTGCTGTACAGGTAGGAGGGTGATTTCCTAAAGCAGCTGCTTGGGACTGACTATACCTTTGTCTATCAATTGAGTTCTTTTGCATAAGGCATGGGGGAGAGGAGGGCAGAATACAATTGGTTGGTATGCTTGCTGTGTCATATCTTGATATCCTGCTCATGATCAGCTATGGCAGTTCCTAAAGACTATGTAAGTGCCCTAATATATCATAAATGAAATGTCTGGGGTACTCTGCACAGTAAATAAAAGACCAAAGCTATAGTTTTAAGACAGGTGATGCTCTCAGTCCACTTTTACATAACCCGTTGCTGCAGAGTCTAGGGCTAATTGCGGTCCTTGTTGGAGAACCTAGGTTTTATTCTCTTTTCTGAGATCCCTTTTTAAGGTAGGACTTGCTGCCTAGTGAGAGGAACATAATCAGCAAGCAGCCCCCAGCTGTGAGTTCCTTCACATCTGCTGCAGCTTTAGACACTGACCATACCCAAAGTAATGCACTTCCTGTGCATTTCACATCATTTCCTAAGAGCATAAAGGCCTGGTTACTTAGCCAGCATGGTATGACAGCTCTGATGGCGCTTCTCACTCCATGGCTCCCTGTCAGGTTGGCTGAGGCCTTGCAGGTCTCCACTGTAGTTTCCTTCTCCCTCTGCCTGGCTTCCCCCAGCCCCTTCCTTTCAGAAGAACTAAATAATCCAGAGAACACAATAGGTGACAAGTCCCACACCTGGTCACTCATCACTCAGCGAGTAGTGCTTTTTATCCCTGGGTTCCTTCCTTTAACAGTCTGGTGACCAAAAGATGGCAGAACCCAGCATTCCTTACTGTCTGTCTCACCCAGAGCAACATGGACGGCCTTTCTCACCAGCCTACTTCCTACAAATGAAAAGATTTTAATAGTATATCCCAGGATTTTGATTACTTCCCATCTTCCCTCAGCTGTCCTGGGAGTACAGCACAGGACAGAAGCCACACCTACCGGTCCATCCAAATCTTTTCTTTCTTTTATTGCCCTATTCTGTTTGCTTTTTTTTTTTTTTAAGATTTATTTATTTACAAGAACTGGGCACAGGTCAGAAGTGCAGGGGGAGAGAACTCACCAGAGACAGAGTTGGGAGCAGAACAGGCAAATCGACTGAACACTACTGAGGGAAGCAGTGGGCAGGCCTGAAGAGGTCTGCCACACCATCTGGGTCACCACCACTCCCAGCCCCAAGGCCTATTCTTTAAAAATCTGTAGCATTTGACTGTTCTGACTATTCTTCATCCTTACTAGCAGTGTTGTGTGTGTGTGTGTGTATGTGTGTATGTGTGTTTTAAATACTCTGTTTGCCTAATGAATTTGTGGAGAAACAAGACTCTTAATTCAGGATTCTTTGTATTATTTTTATAAAGAATAATAAACATTTATTATTTTAACCTTTTTAAACTACTAATATCCTTTTGGAAAACAGTATTTGTCAAGAGTGCTAAAAATATCCAACCTAGAAATTTATCCAAAAAAAATCAGTCTGACAGAAGAAATATGAGTGTGTTCTGCAAGAAAGAAACCCCACAGTCACTCCAAGGCTTCAGCAATGGGGACAGCTCCATAAAGCAGGGTCTATCTCATCGGTATTATGAAGAGTAAGGACAAAATAAGATATAAAAGCGTTTCTCAGTCTGGCCCTTCCCTTATCTGACCCACACTACCCCTGTTCATGCTGCTCCTTCTCCCAGTGTCCTCCTCTGCCCCAGCTCTGCCACCAGACCTCAGCCCAACCCCCAGTCCCATCTGAGGCAAGTCCCATGAGCCATTCCTCTCACACTGGCTTGGAATTGTGGCCTGTCTCCTTATGCATGAGCCTGTCAGGGTCAATGTCATCTTACTAAGAGACCTGACATGCAGTGAGCAGATGACAAATATCTGGGGAATAAATGAAGTTAGAGAGTGAATGGAAGTAGACAATCCACTTTATTAACAATGGTTTCTCCAGATCAGTGAAATATGATTTCTTTTTTCAAATTACTAATGAAAAATCCCAATGAATTTATTTTTAAGCTAGCTGAATATAAAAATAAGTGCATTATAATCACGGCTATATAAAAAGCAAATGTATATTAATCAAGTCTAGACAGAAAGTACAAAAACAAAATCCATTTAGTAAAATTATAAGCAATCTTTGCTTAAATGTTTTTAGTTGTTCCGTAATTTCGTCTACTGACCACATTTCTTCTGACTGTGCTAAGTTCAAGTGCCATCTCCATGAAGGATTGTGAGCTCACTGTCTGTAGCCTCTTCATTCATGATGACTACTCATTATTAGCACCCTGTGTACCAGGCACTGATTTGCCACGCAGGTGATAGTGTCAGTGTTTCATTTTATACTCAGGACCACTCTGAGACAGGTGCTGTCATTCCCAGCATATATGGACTATAAAGACTAAGAGACTGTATGAGCTGCCCAAGTTCACATGGTCCAGCAATGACAGCTAGAATTTGCAACCTAAAACTCATTCTATCTGCCACATCCCTTCTCCACTGGCTCATGCCACTATGCCAGATTTTGAGGTACAGTGGGTAAGCGTAGAGCTAGCACAGTGCTGCCCCTCAAGGGGTTGTCATAGGGATTAAAGGAGCTAGCAGGTATGAGAATTGGAACAGTGGAAGAACTCCTAGTAAACATGCACCATGATGTTATTCGCCCTCACACCGTCACCTCTACCAAAGACAAAACAGATCATATCCCCGCTGCCTCCCAAACCCACTACACAATGAGCTTTCTGAGGGTGCTTCTGCCTCTTACTGAGAGCCATAATAAAACCTACTGATTGAACCCCAAATCTACTTGTGGCACCTCGACAGGGCTACAGTGCTCTGGGGCAGAAGCAATAAGCGAGGACAGGGGGTTGACACCCCAGCCCTCTTCTCACTAACCTTCATCTGCTGGGTTCTGCAGCTGCTGCTGGTGGCACAGAGAGTGGAAGGTGTCTTCTTCCTGCCAGATGATCCGGTGCAGAATGATCCAGGGCAGCACTGAGGAGACATGGGGCTCCTTGGGCTCCTCCTGCACGGCCATACTGCAGTCAATGACCTGAGGGAAGGAGGACACAAGGGGTATCACAATAAGACCAGCTCTTCCCCCCACCTTCCAAATGAGTCCTCATGGCAGACCAGGGATGGGAGCAAGGGCATGCTCTCTGCACATCCCACCTCTGGAAGGACCATAAACCTAGTGGCATCTCAGCATCTCATCAAATTCCAACCAAGCCCACCCACCAAATTCCCCAGTCATCAAAGGAGCTAGATCTGACCATCATGCACCAGCCCTGACCATTCTCCCAGCATGCCACATGGAGTTTCTGATTCCCCCAACTATGTGCTGTGCCCTGGGTCAGATATGAGAGTTAAAAAGGGAAAGAGCACAGTGAAATTGACAGTCCTGAGGGAAGAGAGCCAGATTCAGGCCATGAAAGAGTAAAGACTGGTATGGTTGCAGCAATAGAAACAAAAGAGGATGGCAGTGGGGTCAGAAGAAGAGGAAACAAACACAGGTAAGGGAATGGCTATGGTATATCCCACACTCAAGAGGGCAGGAAGTAGACAGAAACAACAGGCATACAGGCAGAGGAGTCAGATGCAATCCAAGGAAACAGAAGCTGTGTGTTAAGAGGTAGGGTCAGCCCACTCCTAGAAATACTGATTCAAAAAGATACCTGCACCCCCATGTTTACTGTTGCTTTATTTACAACTGGAAAAACACAGAAGCAGCCCAAATGCCCAAAAGTAGATGACTGGATAAAAAAGATGTGGTACATATATACAATGGAATATTACTCAGCAACCAAAAAAGAGAAACACATGTCTTTTGCAGCAACATGGATGGAGCTGGAAAAGATCATGCTTAGTGAGATAAGCCAGAAAGAGAGAGTAAAATACCGGATGGTTTCACTCATAGCAGGAGTATAATGGACCAGGCGAGAAAATAACAAGAATAATGAACAACCATATACCAGAGACATTTTGTGGGGGTGGAGTGGGGAATGGGATCAAAAACGGGGGGGTTGGAGAGGAAAGTGCACGGGATTATGATGATGGCACACGGGTGACTTGGTGATGGGAAACCGGCGGGGATTACAATTGAGAAAGAAAAAATAATGTACAAATGATGTAAAAATAAACTGTTATAAAATAAATAAATTAAAAAAAAAGAGGTAGGGTCAGGTAGAGCAATGTTCCTTGGGCAACAAGCAACCAGGAGGGAATAAGAAGGGTTGAAGCAAAAAAATAAAGAAAAAAAGAAGGACTGAAGCAAGAAGGAGCACACTGGTATTTCTGCTTTGGAAAGATAGCCGAACTGGAAGAGGGCGAGGGAGAGCATGTTGTCACAGTGCAAGGAAGAGACAGCAGTAGCCTGGGCTACAGCACAAAAGTGAAGACACAGGAAAAACAAAGGATGGGCTGTTAAGGCAGAGATTTGGTGTGCCTTGCTGAGAGCATAAATGGGAGATGTCAGGGGAGAGCTAAAGGTGGCTCAAAGAAAAGTTCTCTACCACAGAATCTCTCTGATCTGTGACCCCTCAGCTGTGAGTATTGGGACAATGTGGGGTGGTGGAGAGCCCTGGCTGGGAAAGAAGACCTGGGTTCCAGCCTCAGCTCTGCCTCAAGCTAGCTGCACACAGATCAAGACTTTCTGCTCTGCACCTGCCTCCTTCACCCAGGACGGATGGTCTGAAAGAAACTGGTGAAGCCAAGTGCTACACCATCTTGAAGTCCCAGCCCAGCCAGAACCAGGAAGGTTTGAAGCCAGTGCAGAGCCAGCCATCCTGGGGTATACACCTCTTCAGCCAGAAAAGCCAACCCACCCTTTGAGGTGCTTAACCTGCCAGGGAAGTTTGTGAACTCTGAAGAAGGGAGCCACCCGAGAGTCACACCTTCTGGGGCGGGGCGGGGCAAGGCAGGGCAGGAAGGAGATGAGCATTACCTGGATGAGGTTGTTGGTGAGCCGGCTGAGGCCAGTCGTGGAAGACGATTCCTTCAGGATGCTGCCACTGCTGTCTGCCAAAAGAGCCTGCTCGATGCCCATCAGCAACTGGGTCACCGTGGCCACCCACTCCTCCTTGGCTGCAGCCTCACTTGCATTCACCATCTGCTGGACTGCCTCGTTCAGAGCCACATCAGAACACTCAAAACATTGCCTGTGGTCCTTCAGCCGGAGCAAGGAGTCCTGAGCACAGGAAGGTGTAGAGGAAGGCATACTGTGAGAGGGTCATGATGACACTCACCACACCTGATCCTCAGAACAGATAGTCAAGGACTAAGACATGAGGGGTTATCCAAAAGAAAAGGGGTACACAGGCCCTATAGAGGCTTGAGGTAATTGCAAGTTGTGGTGATGTGTGTACAATCACAACATGAGAGGCCACTGGCCAGGAAGCTTTCAAAAAAGTGCTGAACTTCCATACCTCGGTTTCCTCATTTATTAAGGTGGGACAACAGGATGAGGACACAGAGCCAGCAAGAAGCCAAGCTTGCTCTGTCAGCTCTCATCCCAAGTTACCAAGTCCCAGACCCCAGTGCCACAGCTCTGGAGGGTCTCATCAGGAGAGAGCAGGTTGCTAGAAAAGGACTGCCTCACAGAGGAGGGCCTAGCCAAAACCATGGTAAGGACAATTAGCCAGGCCACACTGAAACCATCACTCTGTGCCTCCATCCTCCCTGGGTACCCAGGTGGAGCAGGGTGAGACTCAGCCACCTCATCATACCTCAGAACCCCCCCCCCAGGCATTAAAGTATACCTTTTCTGAGTATACACAGAGTATACTCAGTGTACATAGTATACTCAGCACACAGAGTATAACATAGGTCAGTATAACACACTGAGCAATTCTATTTTAAAATCTTCTTTTCAGGGGTCTCTGTGATTTCTGGAAGCCTTCTTTTCCTTTTACTCTGAACACTGCCACTGTTTTAACTCCTCACATCTCAGCCTCTTTCACAGCTGGACTGAAGTATGGGAAACTCAGCCTGGCTATGCTCACAAGTCTGTGGGGGGCAGTTAGAGCAGCAGGAAGTGTCTGTTGCCCAGGCTCTGACCTCAATATAGCAAGGGCCATGAGCAGCTTCTGCCCACTGCTGACACTGACAAGTGAGGCTACTACTCAATTAGGTGACACAGACAGGTATGGGGCAGAAATGCCCAAAACTGACTTTGGATATGCTGCAACATCTAAACACAGATCAAAACCACCCCAAACGTATCAGTCTTAATTGCCAAGAACATGGGGCCTCTAAGTTTTATTTTTTACAAAAAAATCAACACTCTTAGCAGGGTGCCACTGAGGTATAAAAGGGCCATGGGGTGAAGAAGAGGAGCCTAAAGGCCTAAGTTGACCACTCTTGATAAAATAGTGAACACATAAAGGGCCCAAGGCTATCAGAAGAACAAAGACTATTTACTTTAAAACACAGAGTTGGGCCTCCCTGGTAGCACAAGGGATTAGGGCACAGCAGTGCAAGCCAGCCACAGCCACTTCAGTGCGAGTTCAATCCCAGGCCCCAGAGGTGACCCACATGGCACAGCAGACCTCTCCTGTCTCACCTGCAGCTCCCCTAAGCAGTGTACTTCATTGATCTGCCTATTCTGCTCCCCACTCTGTCTCTAATGAATCCTCTGACCACCCCTGCACCTCTGGCCTGTACCCCAATTCTGTATGCATAAATAAATCTTTAAAAAAATAAAGCACAGACAGAGTTGCATAGAAAGTGAAGAATAAACAAGGCCCTAGCATGATATAAACCCAACACTAAAGGCCAGAAAGAGCTAAAAAGCAGAAAAACTGGCCCTTCCTATTGGCACTGTGGGTTAAAGCGCAGCATTGCAAGCTAGCCATAGCATAAATAAATAAAATCTTAAAAAAAGAAAAACTTCCAACAAACAAGACCTAGTTTTATCACCTATCAAAAACAAAGCAAACCCAACAGAAATTATCAAAAATGGCAGGAATTCACTGAAGTTACTAGATTAAAAATAAATACACAGGGCCCTCCCTGGTGCCGCAATGGGTTGGACATAGAACTCCAAGCAAGCCGCAGCTGCTTGAGTGCAAGTTCGATCCCTGGCCCTAGAGGTGACCCACATGGCACAGCAGACCTCTCCTGACCCACCCACTGCTCCCCTCAGCAGTATACTTCAATGATCTGCCTATTCTGCTTCCCACTCTGTCTCTGGTGAAGCCTCTCACCACCCCTGCACCTCTGGCTTGTACCCCAGCTTTGTATAAATAAATATCTTTAAAATAAATAAATAATAAATACACAAAAGATAATAGGAGTCCTACAAACCAAAAATGTGAGTTAGAAAATGCCCAACAAAAATATCCTGCTTAAAACACCAACCTAAAATAACAATGACAAAGAATTTCCTTAACCAGAAAAAAACTATACAATCACTGAAGAACAACAAAGGCAGCCTCCCCCAATAGGGAAAGAGTCATTATTTCCTAGAGGGTAAGATCCCCATAGGTCTCTGCATAAAAGCAGATGAGACATTTTAGTGTAAAACATAAAACATAAATAAAGGAGAATATGCATTTTGCATGTTTCCTGTCTGCCTTTCTTCCATAGCATAGGTTCTGTCAAAGGGCGCCTCTCTGCCAAGCACACTGTAGGAACTATCTGTGTGTAGAATAGTGGAGAGGATTTTTCCAGGACTGGAAAGTATAGTGAACAAAATCACAAATGTTTAAAAAAACATCAAAAGATATGACAACCCAGAGATACAGAACTTCTACATGTCAGGGGAAAATGTCATAATTCAAAAGCAAACAATATACTGAGAAGAAAAACATTTGTAACATAAAAAGTATTCCAAGTTAGTATGAAAATAAAACCCTTACTAAGAAATTGAAAAAAGCCAAGAGTCATGTATTTACAAAAGGCAGGCGCTCCGTGTACTTGGCAAAAGTCCCACCACAGTCCTAATGTTGCTCAGTAGCCAACCAAACAGCAGCTCCTCCCCCATCTATGGAGCGTCCTGCCTCCCCCAGGCATTCCAGCTGACAGAGGAAAGCTGATGTTTGAGCCACTGAAGTCACTGTATAGAAACTGAGAGGGTGGCCTCTCCCTTCCTTCTCCTGACCCAGTGGCATCCTTGGGCGCACACAGTTCTCTCTCCCACACACACCTCTGCTGGGCCCAGCCCACCACAGTTACTGAGATCATATACGTCGCATCCCTTGCTTTCAGCAGGGCCTGTCTGACCTACTCAGCAGGAGCTAGAAACTCCTTCCTTCCTTTCTTTTCTCCCTCACTTCCAGAATCAATACTTTCTTTCCCTTTCACCGGTACAGAATTGTCTCTGTTTGCTCACAGTCACAACTCTTAATTTTCCCAGTTCAAGAGGGTCAATAATTAACATATCTCGTGTAATCTGTGCGAGAAGACTAGGTTATCTTTCAAAACTGAAGAGGAAGGACCCAATAAGATAGTATGTGATCACAGGGCGAACTACCAGTGTCAAGATACCATATCAACACTACTAAGCACATCGTATTTATCACCTTCCAAGTCTGTCTCTGTGTCCAGTACCTCTCTCTGTAAGGACAATGGCAACGATGATGACAGGCACCCACACAGTGCTTGCTACATGTCAGGCATGGTGCCAAGGACACTAATTCATATCAACCCAACAGGTCTCTGAAGAAAAGACAACTATCACTCCCATTCTATAGCTGAGGAGCCAAGGCACAGAGAAGGTGTGCAACTGCCTAGTGAGCACTCAGTAAGGGTTTGCGTCCTAAAGAACAGGCATGGAGGAAACTGAGAGAGCCCATGGGACTCCACACCTTAGCAGTGCTCATTTCTTTTACTGTGTGGTCAAATGTGTATTTAAATTATCTTAAGTCTTTACATCTGTGTGTTTGCTAGACTTAAATGGCCTGTTCTGCTACGATTCTGGTTACATACAGTTCTGCCCTCCAAAACAAGGTAAGAACAGCCTGTCAGTTATATGACCGAAAAGAAAGTAGATACCAGACCCTTCAAGGCTTCTTTCAAATTAAGCAAGAGAAAGACGATTGATCACCCTGGGAGAATGGGCGTAGACTATGAGGTATGATCAGGAATGGTGGGGTCCACTGACTTATGTGTAACCCTGTGTCCCAGAGACTGATCAGTGGAACACCTTGTTGATAAGATTGGAACCATGACTAGGGGGCCAGAGTATGGTTTAAATTAAAACATCAGGTCATCAAGTAGACAAATCTGGTGAGCACTCACATCCCTCTGAAGCCCGAAATGAGATAAGCACATTTTCAGTTTCACCACCCTTTTTCTCTTTTTTCTCCTACCCTATGTAATTGACACTGTATGATTATTCTAGCAAAAAAAAAAGGCCAGGATCTTGCTTGTTCAGCAGCATTCTGCTTTGTGCAGCCTGCTCCATGATTCCCGTTTATCAGTGTGGTGTTGCCAATGCAACAAACATTGTACATGTATTTGGTCATTTTAAAATATCTACTCAGTAATTAACTTAAAAAGCAATAGAGGGGCTTCCCTGGCAGCATAAAGGGTTAAGTCTCAACACTAAGAAGCTATCAGCAGCCACAACAGCACAAGTTCAATCCCAGCACAAGTTCAATCCCCAGGGAGCTGACCCACATGGCGTGGCAGACCTCTCCTGACGACCCACCTGCTGCTCCCCTCAGCAGTGTATTTCAGTCAATATGCCTGTTCTGCTTCCCACTCTGTCTCTGGTGAATCCTCTCACCCACCCACCCCCACCCCATACTTCTGGCCTATATCTCAGCTCTTCAATGCATAAAAAAAAAAAAAAAAAGCTAAACAAATGGATAGTGAAGCTGATGACACCTCCTCTGTTCAGAAGCCTAGAACCTACACCCCCAGTCTTGACCATACATTCTGACTAGTAACTACCTGGGTGCCAAGTTAGCAGCATTCACTGCCATTTTTCTAGGCTCTCAAGGGATACTTCAAAGCCTGCAGAGAATAAACCCACAATCAAGCAAAGAAAGAACAAGTGGACAGGACATGGGCAGCACACACCTGCAGCAGCAGCAGCTGAGCTGGCCTCTCAGGAATGGAAGTCATAAACTCCAGATGCTTGGCCCGGTCAAACCCACTGGTGCACAAGGTGGGGCGGAGCAGATGCACAACAGCCTTGTAGTCACCAGCCTCATATAGCCGCTGAATCTCCTCCAGGGATTGGCACCGCTCCAGTGACTTCAGGTTCTTATCAATCTGGAAAAGGGCCAGAAGTGCTGCCCATTGACATACTGCTTACACCTCCCTTGAATATGACCAGTGTTTGCATTGTCAGACCCAGGTGAGAAATACAAAATTACTCTCACTGCAAAATACTTCAGCATTTACAGTAAACAAATATTTGATAAAAAAAAAAAAAAAAGTATGGGCCCTCACTATGAAGCTACCACAGCTACTGCAGCACGAGTTCCATCCCCCACCAGGGAGCTGACCCACGTGATGACAGACCTCTCCTGACTCGCCTGCTGCTCCCCTCAGCAGTGTTATTTCAGTACATCTGCCTGTTCTGCTCCCCACTCTGTCTCTGGTGAATCCTCTCACCTACCACATCTCTGGCCTGTACCCCAGTTCTATATGCATAAATAAATAAATCTTAAAAACCAAAAAGTATTTGTTAAGGTCAAGGCATTTAATTCTTTAGGGAAAAAATATGCCACATACCATGAGAAAAAAAAATCTTCCTTAAAAGCAGAGAGTTCAGAATCTGCCAAAACAACTGAATAACTGACAGTTAACCCAGATTCATGAAGCCATGTAATACCAGGCCACCAAAAACACAGCAAGCCCCGGGCCAGAAGCTGATGCAAGTCACTGACACAGAGAACTCTCCCCTCAATGGGGTCTGCCACTAGCCCCAGAACATAGGCACTCCACTTGACCTTGCCCAGAAACTCTGCAAGAATCTAAAGACCCCTTTTAGCTATTGTGGACACAGCACAGTCTGGAAACTGTGGCAGGGTCTGAGACTGCCCAGTGGAAACAAAATTAGCGCCTGACAGGGGCTGAATATGTGCCACACCTCACTGACTCAGCCCCAGGGTAAGACCCAGCTGATCTGCTCCTGAAGTTTTCCTCTAATTCGTGGGGCTGCTACCACATGTGTGGGATAGCAGACCAATATTCACTCTGAATCATGCCATAAAACACCTCTACCCCTGTTCCTGCCATCAGACCCGCTCTTCATCACCAGGTGTGTGCACGCCTGGGGGCCCTCGTGTGCCAGTGCTGCCTTTCCCAGGCCTCTCGGATGTCCAAAGGAAGGAGCCCTGCTCAGCATGTGAGCTGCTTTCCTGTTCCTCAGCAACAACCTCAAGTCTGGTCTAACTGGGTCAACCCAGAATAAATCTTTAACCAAGAAAATACCGTATTTTAAAAAACTCCCACTCACCTCCTCCAGGGAAACAACAGAGTCATTGTGGAGGTTGGGCAGGCGGATGATGATGTCTCTTGGTTCAGTCCCTGCCTCCACCTGCATGGCAGTGGAACTCTGAAGCATCTCTGTGCAGATGTCATAGTTCTCCAGGGCCTGCTCCATGTCTCCCTGCTCAGAAGAAAAGCAGTCAAAGGACTGAGGCAGAAAGACAGGTAAGGCCCCTAGCAGTGCTGTGCCAGATGCTTTATGTTCCTGGTCCCACTAGACTCTTGGCACCACGAAGGTGGGCTTTAACCCCATCACAACTCTACCCTCTCAAAGGGGGCCTGGCACACAGCTAGGGCTCAGTAAGTATTTGTCAATCAATGAATGACTCACAGCATAACCCTATAATCAAGAGAGGATATTGCGGAAATCTGAACAAGACTGAGTATTGTGCTTAAAACCAAGCCTGTCCAATTTCACAACTCACTGGATCGATCTTTTGCTCATTCTATAGTGCACCATGTACTACTGTAAGTAAAATGTAAGATAACAGCCAGTCTATTCTGACTATCCAGACCAAAGTGTGGGGTGAAACTTTCTGAGAAGTCACTCAAGACAGGTGGCTGATTCCCTTCTAGAAGGGTCTGCATCCACTGGTGTAATTTCAGAGCTCTGTGGCTATGTTGAAATATTTTACAAGCAGGTAGCCGTGCTGGCCATGAGATGCAAGCAGTGCCCTTCCTTTTACTGAGACCAGTGATGAAGCAAGGCACCACCGGCAAGCATGCACTTGTGCGTGTGCGCACACACACAGACATGCAACCTCTCTGTATAATGTGTTCAGTTCTCTTCCCTCCCTAGGGAGTGTCAGGGGATGCTTCTCAATCAGCTAACCAAAAAAACCAACCTGCAGTGCCAGAAACCGAGCCTTCAACCAATAAACACGGACCACAAACTCCAGCCAGCTATCCTCAAATAGATCTCTCTGGGATGAGGCAAATGATAACTGCAGGAGGTCTCCCAGGAAGTGGGTTCCCGGGAAATCAGGTCCAAATCTGCCATTCACCATGCCAGAAGGGCAGTTCCGAGGAGACACTGAAAATCAGGCAGGCCAAAACAAGTCAACTTCATGAAGAGGGTTTAAATGTTGTCTACTTCCCAGAGGTCATTCTGAGTCCTGTCAGGCCTGCCTCAGTATCCATGAGTTCCCTGAGCTCCCTGGAGACTTACAGACTGCAAATGTTGGCATCAGGGCCTCAGAGTTGGTGGGCTCTCACTTTGTAGACCAAAATCTGAGCATATCTTTGTTCACTGGGGAGTGGCTTAAAACTCAGCAGGAGCCATACCATGTGGGAATATTATTAGGATACATAATGTCAAGTAGTAACCTGAATAAAAGGAGATCCCACTTCCTTCAATAATACCTATCAAAAAAGGCAGGCAGTCGACTCCCTCTGGGGCTCAGCTGCTGCTACCTACTTCTTGAGTGGGACCCTGGTAACCAGACAACCCAGGAATATGCTCATGTAGATACGTCTGAATTTCATGACAGCCTCCCCATTCCCACTTCCTCTTGGTTGTTGGAGATTCAGAAAATTACTCCTACCAAAGAACACTTCCTACCTGCAGAGCTTCTACCCTTGGTCAGTAGCCACTGGTCCAACTGGAGCTCCATGCAGGAGAGAGACATCAACATCATGTCCTGCAGGACAGGACCACGTAGTTAGTTATATATGGGTAGAGGATAGAGCAAAACTAAAATTTACTTTAAGGAAAAATATAAATCTTCTTCCTACTTAATTTCTATTTTATGTTTAATAACACCAGCCACTTGTGAGGACTTATAAAAAATGGCACATGCATCTACACTTAGGCTTGGGAGGAGAGGGGGACCTAACTTCAGTGCTACAGATTTCTCTGGAAAAGGCAGCCCTGTTACTGGCTAGATGACAGGCCAAAAGTGCATCCAACCACAGCACTTAACCCTTAAACAGGGGGAATCAGCACACTGCTTCCAGAGTACACAGCAAGGTCAGCATTAAAGAGACACCTGCCAAGTGGGCACCAATGGGAAATACCAACCTGATTCGTCTGGGGACCAATGCCTCAACTCCCTGGCTGTTTCACAATCCCCTGAGAAAGCAGGCCCAGTGGGCAGAGGCTGCAGGACAGAGGCCCTAAACTGTCGCGGTAGAGTCTGCTTAGCCAGGGAGCACTGACCCACATGGTCTTAAGAGCTAAAAAAACCCCAGAACTCCTCATCTTCTGTGCTCCCAGTCAGAAAGATTTACCCAGACATGTCCTAAAACATCCCAGCTTTCAGTCTTCCTCCTCTAGTACGGGAAGGGGCAGGGCACTCCTTGAGTCTTGGGAGATTAAAGGAGCCAGGGATATGGGGTACAGTAGTTGCTGACTACCACCACTTCCCTAAGCGCCCTGCTTAGTCTCTGCACTTCTGTTTCCTCACCTATTAAAAAAAAAATAGTAACAGTTCCTGGCACCCTGAACAGAGCCAAGTGCTTTACTTTCCTCCAACTCCACTGGCTCTCCTGGACCCAAGTAAGCCACCCCTATAACCAGACTGCCCTAGCAACCTCCCAATCTTAGTCTCTCACCTCTTCTTGCCCTGGACCACTCTAACCCTAAGTATATCGTCCATTCAGTCACCAGGTATCTCTCTAGACACAAACCAGACCCCACAACTGCCTGTTCAAAACCCCCAGGGACCCAGGTTTCAGGCCCACAAGCAGTAAATGCAATCAAGTAGGTGCAATGCAATAGCAGCACCACACACAAAAACAGTCCCTGTGCCCATCCCCTGGGTCCCAAGGGGGCACCAGCCTGAGTGAGACCCCTGCTGGCCCAACCTTGATGTGCTTGTTGCTGCAGTCCCTCAGCAGTGGGTTGGGCAGGCTGGTGCTGTGCCTCCTCCAGCTGTGGTAGATGCTGAGCACAACCTCTGCCAGGCCCGGTGGCCACCTCAGCAGGAACTTGTGGCCCATGCTCTTTAAGTAGCGCATCATCAGCTCCAGGATGCCTCCATTGGTCAGGTTCTCCAGCAGGAAAGCATGCACGTCCTGCTTCTCTACCCAGAGAGGAAGAAACATCTGACTTGAATGACTTTCTATGCCAAGGCCTCCCATTTTCTTAGGAAGAAGAGGATGGTGGAGAACCATGACAAGGGTAGGGCAGGTAGAGGTTGAAGAGAGACTGTGATTTCTCCCCACGCGGTGGTGCTGCAGTCAGGCTCTGAGGCTCCAATCCTTGCTCCAGTTTCACCAATTGTGAGCAAATGTCCCTAAATACTCAGGTCTAAAGTAGAGATGAAAGGACTGACCTCCATATGCCAAAATGTGTACTTAATGAGGGCACACAGTAAACACTCAAAAAATATTTGTGTTACGCACGTCCACTTGCAAAGCTATGCCTTTGGGCTCAGCCTGAATTACGTGTTCTTCAGGGAGCACGGTCACATCATTTCAGCAGACCTACTGATCACGGAGCTTTGGTCTAAGACAAGTCCAGGTAAACCCTTCACTATACTTAAAAAGCACACCAAAATCATTCTCCTAGAACAAAATCTAAGTAGGTTACAGGGTAATGGTAGAAGGATGCTCAAAGGATAATCACAGTACTTAATTCCTACCAGATTCCATGAACGTGGCTGAGTCAAATGACAGTCTATGGGGCCCAATGCTTGGGAAGCTCTCCAATTTGGCCTCTGACTGGACTTCGTAGTTATTAAAGGAGTCATCTTCTTCCTCAGGGTCCAGCTTTCTTAATCTGGAAGACCACACCAAAATCACAAAGCCACAACACACATTCTGATGCAAGCACTTGAATTCTTCCTACAAAACCTGGGCCAAGGAGAGTACTCATAAGTGAACAGCTAGATCAAATACCCAGGCCTCCAGGAAGCTCTACCTCTTTCTAGGACTTGGTGAGTTGCATCCAGATGGCCTACACCCTCCTTACCCATTCATTTCTCCACTGACAGATAATCATGGAGCACCAGTATGTGCCAGGCAAGGTGTGAAGTGCAACCTTGCCCACAGTAAGCTTATCTTCGAATGGAGAGAGACAATAAGTGGATAGACAAAAACACAGGATTGAAATAGGAACAAACGACCAGCGTTTGAGACAGAGGATCACAGAGGACCTGTATTAGAGACAGGAAGACCCCTCAGACAGGGTGATGTTCATTCGTACTGACACTGGCGAAGTGGCTGGTCATGCAGAGGCACAGAACACACCAGAGAGCAGCTGGTATGTTCTAAGACCGAAGGAGAGCCTAGTGAGCAAGGAGAAAGTGGGTGGGTGGAGGGAATATGGGGACAGAGCAGGCCCTCCCATGCATGGCTCGTCACAAAAAGGCCCCCAGAACCAAGCTTTAGCTTCCTCATCACCAAGCAGTCGTGCAAAATAAACACATAGGGCACTTTTCAAGGTCTTTGTTTATTTATTGCTCTCACACACACCCACATCCACAAAATGACTATACAAGACAAGCCATTATGTTGCTCTTGCCTGATCATTTGAATTAACAGATACAGAAAACAACCACCAAAACTGAAAAAGAATAAAGAGGAACTGACGCCTCCTGCCAAAAGCCACAAGAGTGAGATTAAAAGCAAAACGAAACAAATAAATATGTGTAGAAATCATACCGTGTAAAAGGGGTTAGGGAGCAAGTCCCCAGAATGGGGCAGCTGGGCTAAGAGGAAGATGGGGGAACGAGTCAATTAGACCTCTTGGTGTCAGCAATCGCATCACCATCTGGAAGCTGTTCCCTCAAAGGGTAACCTATGCCCAGCACTGCACCCTGGCATTTATGTGCAGAGCACTGTATCCGCTGCTTACTGAGAATACCCGTGGTTTTTAGCACTTCACTTCTACCACAAAATGAGAGGCAACAAATTAGGAAGATTGCTGTAGAGCATGTTTACAGTCATCTAAAGCTTCTAGCTCCTACTCCTCCCCTTTAATATCCATCATCATGAAATAAAAGTACTATGGGCCAAAATACCAGCTACGGACTACCAGGTAAATATGCACATTGAGCACACATAATTACCTCCCAAACTCCATCCCAATAATCGTGATGGAAAAAAAACAAAGATACAGGAGAGAGGAGAGGATACTCCAGTGGCAAGAAATGTACCCACCAAGTGAGGGTACATTTATACAGCCTACACAAGTGCTGTATAACAGCATTACTTCAAAAGCACTGCTGGGCCTCCCTGGTGGTATGAGGGTTAAGTCTCAGTGCTGTTATCACCACTGTGCAAAAGCAGCCTGGGTTCAACCCCTGTCAGGAAGGTGACCTACATGGTATAGTAGACCTCTCCTCTCTCACCAATTGCTCCCCTCAGCAGTATACTTCATCCATCTGCCTGTTCTGCTCCTCACTCTATCTCAAGTGAATCCTCTCACCCCCTTGTACCTCTGTCTATACCCCCATTCTTTTTGTTTTTTTTTTTTAAAGATTTATTTATTTATACATATAAGAACTGGGGCACAGGCCAGAAGTGGGGGGGGGGGGCAGTGAGAGGATTCAGCAGAGACAGTGTGGAGAACAGAACAGGTGGACTGACCAAAACACACTGCTGAGGGAAACAGCGGATGGGACAGGAAAAGTCCACTGCACCATGCAGGTCACCTCCCTAGTGGAGATAAAACTCAGGCTGCGGTGGCTGTGGAAAGTCTAACAGTGCTGTGCTTTAACCGGCTGTGCCACTGGGGAGGGGCCCTAGACCCCAATTCTACACAACAATAAATTTTAAAATTTTACAATAAAGGAATAAATCTTTAAAAAAAACAACACTGCAATTGAAAAAAAAATATGTTTCACAGATAATGTTGAAACACACCTCTTTAGAACTTAAAAAAAAAAACAGATGCATAACTAACAAATACTAGAAGGCACTAGAGATGAAGGAACTGCAGAGACTGAACTGTTTTCTACACTTTGCTAGGAGCAGGGGAGGTGGTGATCAAGAAGCCCACCAGTGGCACCATAAACAGTGGTGCCCAGTAAGGCTAAGGAATCAAGGATCCTGGAGCCTCTGTGCCAGGTGAGAGGGTAAGGACAAAAAGCAGGAGTTCTGGTGAAAATCTGCGAGGAGCGCTGGTATCCCCCACCCAACCAGCCTGAACCATCTCTTCCTGTGGAGCATCTCTGAGGAACACAAAGAGACAGTGAAATCCAGGAATGATTCACTAGCACACACACTATGCCTGAAAGCAGAGGGCTGCTGCTTCTCTGGGATTTCTTGAAGTCCACACCTAAGGAGCAACAGTCATAGAGCTCCCAGAAAATGGCTGTTTGTACATGCATGGGCCAAGAGCATGTCACCTCAGCTCGAGGATCCATTCATACCTGAGAGCCCAGAAAGTGACTGGTGCTTTGGAAGATGCATCTGTCACAGTTCTTGCCTTCAGGAAGTTCTGAGGCAGGAAAGGCAAGGAAAATCCAGCCTCCCAACCCGGGGAGATCTGTGCTTTGGCCATCTGCACAGACTAGTTATGTGGAAGCAAAGGAGATATCCAAAGGGTGGCAATGGAAAGGTTATTGGCAGTGTAGGGTGTGGGTTTGTATTTGTTTATATAAATCAGAGAAAGTGTACACAGTACCTGGATGGCAAGAACTTCATCAGAAGCTCCTGGAAGTCTACTTTCTCTTCTTTTTTGCACTTGGTGTTTCGGACCCGAGCAGACCGCCGCTTTGCTGTTTCTCCACTCTCTTCTGAAATCTTCTTCCGCTTTACTCCTTTCTTGGATTTATCTCCCCCAGAAACATCAACTTCACAAAGATTGCAAATTGAAATCTTACAAAGTAGGGGGGTAAAATGCACCACACAGGCACATCCGTGCCCTCTTTTGTAACTCAACCAGCAAGTTCAATCTTTCTCTCCTTTGATCAAGAAATCTCCCATCTCTTCTTTAACAGAGTCCTGAGTAAAGTCTGTTTCAAACCACTTAATTCCTACACCTTTCTTGAAATCACAAAACTACAAGTAGATTTCAAGACTACTTTCCCACCGTTACAGACTACCAGGGCCTCAGGTTTGACATCCCCGTTACTCCCCCGGCAAGAGCCACTGGGACCTCAGCGGATCTAGCCCAGATGGGACAGAGCAAGCAGCGGTGACCCTAACTTTACCCATTGTCCAGAATCCTAAGTACCCACTGATGTGAGCAAGAGAATGGTGTGAAATACAGACAGCAGAGGAGTGCCACGTAGGATTAAGCAAAAAAGTAAGAAACAACACTGTGTATGTTCATTCAGAAACTCCTTTAACTGTCAGATATTCTTTATTCTTTTTATTCCCCCAGGGGCACAGAATCAAGAAACGTCAGCAAAATTACTGCTATGCGGTAGTATAGTTTTGTCTGAGATTTTTTTACAATTCCAGTAATAATGAAAATTGATAAAAACCATTCAAAAATATACTACCACATAGCGGTAACTTTGCTGATTTTTTAAAGGCCAAAGAATGCTAGTGCACAGAATGCTGAGAGCTAGGACTCACAGCCAGCAAGAGCAGAAAGGACCTGCCACTGCACACGTCTTTTTCGCCTCACACATTATAAGCAGCACCCGTCAGCTTGGTGTCAAGCAGTCCCCAAGGAGCTGCCTCCCTGAGCCCAGACCCCCCCTTGCAGGTCTTCATTACTGAAGTGAGCAGCAGCCCACAAGTAGACTGATGAGTTCCCTCTTTCAACTTTGGGTCTTTGCTTAAGCCTCAGGCCAGGAACATCAGTGGGACCTGTCCATCCGCACAGGCCAGGGCACCCTCAACACTCATTTCAGCTCAGGAAATGGAATATCCCCAAAATTCTCCCCAGAAGATCTGCTCACCTGAGGGAACACCTGTCTCCAGCAGACTGGGACTGTGCAGCGGGAAACTGGCTGCAGCCACAGGAGCATAAGAGACCACAGGCTCTGCCAGAGTCACAGCTGTGTTGGCACTGACGGGGCTTGGTTGGATCACACTGACAGAGGCCACTGCCACAGAGGACACCAAAGGCTGGTTGATGTCTTGATAGTCAGATAGGTCGATTCTCTTGCCAAGACTGGGCCGTGGGGACTCACAGGTAGTAAGATGGTTGTACATGGTCAGTAAACTCTCTCCAAGGCACTTCCAGCTGCAAGAAAAGGGTCACCACACCAGGTCAGCAGCTCCTCATAGGGCCTCCCAAGCCCAGGGACACCTACAATCTCCTCGAGGGGAGGGAGAGTGGTCATGGTTTTGTCACTATGGTTACTGATAAAATCTTGAGTCTAACAGCTGAGGTGGAGCAGTCAGCGCTGGAGCGAGAGCATAGGATCACCCTACTCTCTTCACCTCCTCCTCCCCAAGCCCCAGCAGAAGTCTTGGAGCATCTCAGCCTCAGGCACAATCAGATTCAACCAGGCAAGCATAAACACCTGTCTCACTTCTTTAAAACATCTGTGGTATTTCTCTGCAGCTACTATTCTGGCTTCCGTGGGGCAGGGAGGAAGGGGAAGTGTGCTAACACAGAGTCGGCCTAAAGGTTTGAACAGATTCTTGGGCAGGGTCTCTCAGGAACAGCACCTCAGTGAGTCTCTATTTGGTTCCCAAGAGACCACTCTGTTTGTTTTTGTTCTATATGATGTATGTTTATTACGGTATGGTGTATTAAGCTGTATGCTATTTCATGTTCCAATTTGTCTTATGTACTGTGTAGTATGTTATCCTGTGTTGTGATGTGATGGTATTTCGTGGTATATTCATGCATCACTGAATGGTTTCCAAACATCTCAGATTTACAATCAAATCCTCAGCTTCATGGTCCTCCATGGCTTGGCCCCACTGATTGTTCTGGCTTCACCTTGCATCCTACATCCTCTCCATGCTAACGTCTTTCACTCTGCAAACAAAATCAGACTCCCATATGCCAGAGGGTTCACTCGGGTTTCCCTCTTGCCAGAAACAACTTCCCCCATCTATGCCACAACCTCGCTGCCTAGTCAACGCCCAGTCCTCTGTAAGAATCCAACTCTGGGGCCCTCCTGGTGGCGCAGCAGGTTAAAGCACAGCACTGAGAATCTAAAGCCGCTTCCGCATGAGTTCGATTCCCGCCTGCCCCAGAGGTGACCACATGGTGAGGCAGACCTCTCCTGACCCGCCTGCTACTCCCCTCAGCAGTGTACTTCGTCGATCTGCCTGTTCTGTTCCCCACTCTGTCTCTGGTGAAGCCTCTCACCGCCCCTGAGCCTCTGGCCTGCACCCCTGTTCTGTATGCACAAATAAATCTTTAAAAAAAAAAGAATCCAACTCTGGCACCTAAGCCTTCCCAGATGCCCAGGGCAGTGCAAATCCCAATAGATCTCCCCCAGTGCTCTCTCCTCAGGGTTAGTTAGTTAGAGGCATTTGCTCCTTCAGGTGACTGACTGCCACTCCAGGACTCACCTTCAGTGAAGGACCATTGTCTAGTAACCAAATAAATGTTGTAGAAGTAATAAACAGTGACATGCTTCAAAATCCAGAATCTAATCAAATGGAGATTCCTAGGATTGAAAGGGGTTTCTTACCTATTCTCTCTTTAGTAAGGGTTACATGTGAATGGAGAAGAACTTCTTCACCAGCTATGTGACAAATGCCTTAAATACATAATTTACCCATGCATCGCTCATGTTTGGCAGATACTGATTAGACCAGGATTGGCAAACTGGGACCAACAGACTGTTTTGTACAGTCAAGTTAAGAATGATTTCACACTTATAAAGGGTTGTTAACACACAGTCACACATGATAACACAATAAACATGGTGCCTGGCCCACAAAACCTAAAGTGTTTACCATATGGTCTTTCATAAGAAAAATGTGCAGACCACTGGACTAGGTGGTGCCTATTTTAAAATTCCCAGACCCTCTTCTCCCAGAAAGGGAATCTCTATACTTTTCCTTAATAATGCAATTCTATACCTAAGCCCCAAGCAACACTCCTATTCCAATTCCCTCATGCTTCCGTTTGACCTTCACTTTGCACTGTTCTAATGAACTATGATGCCAGTTCACAGATTCTCTTCTTCACTCACATCACCTGGCACCCTCCCAGCACCATCAGGCATCCTGTTCCTGCACTATAACAGGAGTTCCTTCAAAACTCCCAAATCTCTTGGTTGGAGAGTCCATACTCAGAAAGGATGGAACTCCTGGGCCCTCCCTGGTAGTGCAATGGGCTAAAGCGCAGCCCTATGGAGCAGACCACAACAGCTTCAGCACAAGTTTGATCCCAGGCCAGGGAGGTGACCCACATGGTGCAACAGACCTCTCCTGTCTCACCCGCTGCTTCCCTCAGCAGTGTACTTCATTAATATGCCTCTCCTGCTCCCCACTCTGTCTCTAGTGAATCCTCACACCACCCCTGCACCTCTGGCCTATATCCTAGGTCTGTATGCATAAATAAGTAATTATTTTAAAAAATAAGAAAGGCTGGAAGTCCTAACCAGCTGATATAATGTAAAGGGCACATGACAAGAGTTTGAGAGCAGCCGTGACTTCCTAACTATCTCAGTGCCTGGAAGACAGATATTCCTGTGACCCAACATGTAGAAACATACAAGCAGTAGTAATATGGAATAGAGTCAGCCCTTCCTGAGTTGAGTGTTGAATGTTGACTCTGCATTTGCCTCCATATACTCTATTTAATTATCATAACAACACGAGAAGGATGCTGTTTTCCACACTTTTTTTGTCATGTATCCAGCTAGGGACACCCGTATTGGCTCCCAGACAGTTTGATCCCGGACAGGAACTACAAACCACATTGTGACAATGTCTCTGAGTACGAGGCAGAGAAAAGGAATGCTGCTATGAAAGCATACCAAACTAAGAGTCAAGATTTCATGTTAAATGTTTTTTTTTTAAAAGATTTATTTTTATGCTTATAGAACTAGGGTACAGGCAGAGGTGCAGGGGGTGAGAGGATTCATCAGACACAGTGGGAAACAGACCAGGCAGATGTGCTGAAATACAGAGTGGATAGGCGAGAAGAGGTCTGCCATGCCATGTGGGTCACCTCTCTAGCTGGGGATCCAACCTGAACTGCAGTAGCTGCGGACAGCTTCATAGTGCGGTGCTTCAACCAATTGCACCACCAGAGCGGGGCCTCATGTTAGAATTTTAAAAACAGAATCTGTACCCCAGATCTCACCAAAGGACTACATTAGCCAAATTCCAAGAGGCTCGCCCTTCCAGGATACCTGGAGCACATTATGGGAACTCACAGAATTATGCTGAGGCCCATCCTCCAGGGTGTCCTGGAAGAAGAACAGGGAGTGTGAGTCGGGAAATCCAGACCTGGGATCAACTCCAGGCTTCCCATTCACTTTTTAACTTGTCTGACCCTACTTTCCTCCTACAAGTGTTTCGCAAATGATAGTTTGCTTTTGTCCTCTTGGTAGGGCAGACTGAGAGGGGGCTTATAAGAAAATGGCAGTTAGCAGGGGTTAAGAGTGGCCATAGCAGAGGGGCTTAGACGAGGTATACCTGAGAAAGGCCTGTCTTAGCAACCAACAGTAACCCTGTGTCTTTAGCCATCTCTCCAATGTGCTCCCAAATCCAAAGCAGTGCAAGTCAAGTCCCCTGTGAAGGGCCCCCCAGCTGAGCCAGTATCCCCCGTGACCAGACAACCTACGTGAAGAAGGGAATGGGCTGCACCAGCTTAAGGTCCGGCTCTTTCTCCCGCGTAGTCAACGCCTGCCTCTTCTTGCGCAGCCCCAGGGCCTCATCTACAATGGCCTGTGTCTCGGCAGCACTCACCGACACATCGTGGACTGACAGATCACTAAAAGCCCAGAAGACAGGGAGAAATTACAATGTTACAAACTAGAACCAAGGCTGAAATTTTATAGACAGGGATACAGTTTATACCCTTTAATCTAGATTAATTCTCCTACAAATAAAATAACACTTGAGTCTGGCCTCAAAAGGCTATAATTAGCATTCTTATTACCCACACACAATCGAAATGACTAATACTCTTTATCCTTCTACAACTCAAAGTTGAGCAAAGGAATTTTATATGTATTAATGGTATCATATTAATGTCACAAAAATAAAATCTTGCTCTGAATTATTTATAGAAAATTCTTAAAAATTCTCATTAGCCTAACCTGCCCAACCCAACAAAGTTTTCAGACTACCCAAGCTCACCAAAGTCTATGGTGTCCCCAAACTACAGAAGGGCAGGATCTTGGGGTCTCCCTTCCAGACACAGCTTGCCAGCGGTACCCGCCCACCTGCCCAGCTGCCCTAATGCTCCCAGAAGGATCCGCCACAGAGACACTTGGTTACAGACCTATCGTTCCAGTCTGAAACCTCTCCAAGTATATTAGTTACTTCATAACAGATGCACACAAGATGAAGTCTCACAAGAAGTAGATACCCCAAGATAAAAACCCACAAATTTCCCAACAGGTGATCTGGCAGCAGGGCTAGGGGCAGGAGGCAGCCAGAGTTTCGGTAACTACCAAAAGGTGACCTGGGAGTTGAAACACTTGAAGAAGCTATGGTGGGAAGATGCAACAGACAGGACAAACCCAAGGCCTCAAGTGGGAGTCAGGGTGCAGAACAGGGCGGTGCACAACAGGGCCAGGTTTAAAATCTGCCAGGAACCTAGGACAGTTCTCCTGGGTGGGGGTACATCGGGGAGAAGCATGGGGTGATGTGAAGACCTGGGGATGGAAGGAGAAGGTGTAAGAATGAAAAGGGCCTCCTGGGCAATGCTACTGAGCCTGAACTTTATGGAATAGGGAACTTAGGGAGTCCTGGGAGCAAAGCCTTGGAAAAGGGAAAGATGGATGCTAAGAAGGCAAGGTGGCCAGCCAGCTACCACAAGCATCCAGATGGGTCCTGACAAGTAAGAGAGCCAGCAGAGTACTGGGAAAGGAAGGCAGGAGTCATCACCAAGATTAGGCACTCAGCCGAGTCCTGAACAAGATACTCTGCCAGATGAGGAGGTGCAACAGAGGATGAAGTGCAGAGATCAGCCGTGAGAGAACAGTGTGCGCATACTTCCTGACATTCATCTACCACATGGGCACAGGGACTGGGGGTATCAGTGTGTGGGGTAGAGGGGGAGATCAGTACAGGAAAAGGCAAAACTTACCATTTAAGGAACATTCGGAGGGAGTCCTTCCGGAGACAAGGCTGTTCCTCAAAAATCTTCTCCTTGAGAACAAGCCCTTTGCTGTACCGGCAATCCTTCTCCAAGGCTTTGCAGATGAAATACAGACATGCTTGACAGAAAAGGAAACGGTATGACTTTTGAGTGTACACGACAAACCTCTAGCCTTTCCAGCTGACACCAAGAAAATGTCCCTACTCTGGAATCAAAGACATGCATGGTGAATAGTAATGAGATACCACTTTTTAGCAGAGTTCTGAAAATAATACACAACATAGACAGGGTAAACCCAAGTGCTTCCAGGGGAGGACAGACTACAACCTCTCTGAAGCACCACAAACATTATACGCAAAGCCTCAATCCAGAAATCCACTTCTAGGAAAAAACCTACAGGACCCATAGTAATTAGTTATTGGCTAATTGGAAAACAGCTTTCAAAAATTTGGGAATTCCCTCAGGTCCCCCAGGCATTAAATGAGCTGTGGGCACAGCATACACTGCAGAGTGCCCTGGCGCAGAGGGGCTCTCAGAACCACAATGAGCTCTTCTATTTCAAAATCTCCTCTTGGCGAGTCACTGTGTATTCTGGAAGGCTCCTACCCTTTGACTCTGGAACACAGCCTATTTAAACTCCTCACATCTCAGCCTCTTTCATAGGTAGGCTAAAGTATGGGGAAATGCAGCCTGCTGTGTATACGTCTTGTGGGGGCCCGTTAGAGCATCAGGAAATGCCTGCTGCCCAGCGCTCAGGCTCTGACCTCCATACAGCAAGGCCTAGGAGAGGCTCCTGCCCATCTCAGCAAGATCCCTGGGGGACTGGCTAGGGACAATTTCCTCTGACGTACACGTGATCATTGTACAGACTGAGGGATTTGTTCATCAACCAAAATGAAGGCCATGAGACAGTAAATGAGGAAGTAGGGGATCAAACACTCCATACAGTGTGACTTCATTTTACTCAAAAAACTGGTTTCTATTTCTTTTGTTTCTACATATTTTCTAGGAATTTTTTTTTCCTTTTTCTTTTTAAAAACTGTTCTTACAAAAAAAAAAAAGAGAGAGAAAGATATTCCCTCCAAATGAAGATTTCTGTTAGCAAGCTTTCTTGAATCAACAATCTGGGCAGCCAGTGTTAATTACGGCTCCTCCAAACTTGGAGATCGTAATAAGCAAATGAACATGCAGAGTAAATGGGACGGCATGGCCCATAAAGCAGAGCTAGAAAACAAATCATAAATGTGTTTAGTACTTTAAGTAGGAAGAGACCCTAAAAATGTCACAGCTGAGAGTCACAGCAGGCTGGGAACACATGGACAGATGGCACCAGCTCTACTCTGCTTAGGCACTGGCTGCTACCATGCCCTGCACAACTTCTGCAGCTGCGTACAGGTGGACTGCAAGTCTTTCCTTTCGAGAATAACCAGGAAAAGAAGGAACCATGGGTGAGGAGGAAGAAAAGCTAACGCAGAGGCAGAGAAAAGGGCACAGAGCTGTGTAAGACAGAGATAAAGGCCGTCTTCTTAGTGCCCCATGGCAGGAGAGGGCACAACCTGGTTACAAGTTCACAGGAATCATATCCCCAAGGTGTGTGGACTGTGCAGACTGTGAGCAGGGAAAGGCCCAGGCATTCCCAGGAAAGTAATGGAGGGCTCCAGAGATGGCCCAGGTACCTATCTCACACACACGAGGACATGGTTTCTCTGGGGCCATGGTGGGATGAATGAGTGGCCATGGCAGACTTCCAGAGAGAACCGAGGCACAGCGCTTTAGCTGCCATAAAGCTCACATGCTAGCTGCACTACACTAACATCCCAGCAGAGTGAAGGCCTGAGAAATCTCAAGGGCACAAGAGGTGAGCAGCAGGAATTAAGTCCAAGCACCTCTGCCTACTCATGTCAAATGTATAAATGCCACCTGGAGTTACTGAAACATGATGCTTTTACTTTTGGGAAAGTAATATATGCTTCAATTCAGCCTTCCAATTTTATTTTTCTCGTAGAGACTTTAGTTTACAAAGCGCAATTTCTGCTACCATGAGATGGGAGTACAAAGAATTAAATCAGGTGACTAAAGGACAAAAAAGCTGCCGCCCAAGGCCACACAAAGGTGCAGGGAGAGCAAGCAAAGTGGAGACTAAACACTCTGAAGAAGAAACTGCTGGAGTCACAACGGTGCCCACAGGGATTATATTCTACTGGTGGAGTGAAAACTGAGGCATTCAACAAACTAAATGTCTTGGTGCACCGGAAGAGTATACAGGAGCATGCACGGCTGCACTATGCAAGAACCCAAAGCTGGAAATACCCCAATGTGCAAGCACAGAATGGTTAAACTGTGTAAAGGATCTAACAAAAAAAGGCCTAGCAACTGCTGTATCACACACAGGTATAGGCACAGACAGAAGGACCACAGCCACCCAGCCAGGGGAAGAGGAGCACAAGCCCTATGACGCCACCTATAGGTGCTACCACAAAGCTCATCTCCCGTCACAAAAGGGAGAACACAAGGTCCTCTCACGGGATGGCAATAACTGGAAGGGACCCAAAGCAGCTTTCTGTGGCTCTACAAAAATTCTATCTTGCTGTCTTTCTTACATACAAACTGACAGACCTCAAACAAGTGCACCATATCATATTCACGTGCACATAGGTATGTTTTATACCTCAATTGAAAATTGGCTTTAGATAACTGAAGGTAGGGAAGGGTGAGCAAGGCCAAGCATATCTCAATATACTCCATCTGGAGCTATCTGTCTTTTATAAAGGGAAGAAAAAGATTTCTGCAAGTTAGCCTTCCAGGCTTAATTCTTCAAAGTGATACAAAAGTGTTTGTCAGGATGTCTGTCCTGAAAAGAATAACTGGACTCTGATGGGAGCAGCCTACAGCACATATACCAATTTTAATCTGGGGCTCCCACCGCACTCAGTGCTGCTCAGAGTGCTCCTGGAGAGCCTCCCTCCATTTTGGCCTCAGACGGTACCCAGAAGAGGTTGACTCTGGTTCTAGAGACCCAGGATAACCTAATCAGGCCTATCCCGGGACTAATCCATGTAAGAGGCAGATGTGGTCCCTGCAGAACAAAGAGCACAGCTAGATTAAAGGAAAACTAGAGCTCTGCCTGGCAGAGACCTTTTCAGGAACCCTTTTGCTCTGCAAATGAACAGAGACCTTTGTGTAGTGAGGTCTGGCACAAGAAGGAGTCAAGTAGTAGCTGCTAGGCTGTATGTCAGCAGGATCTAGAAACAGTTTCCGACATAGAATGTGACAATAATCAAATGACATAATGAAGGGAAAACCATGCAAAGAACATGCTTTGTTATTACTCCAACAATCCCAGAAAACTTCCCAAGAGCTTGATAAATCTCAATTAATTAAGAAAGACAACAGAATAAAGCAGATATATAAAACATCTCCCCCGTTCTATGTCATAAAAGCCCTCAGCTTCCACTTACCCAGACTTCTCTCACTCCTCTTTCTAAAAATCACAAGCACACTGGAGAAAGCATCAACGTGTAACTCACTTGTGTAATCACTGAGAGTATACAGGACAGTGATGAGATTGTCCAAGCAGGGCCAGTGGTCAGGATTGCACCGCAGTCCTTCCTCAAAAGCATGGCGAGCCAGGGGTACCCGGATGAGCCTCAGGGCCACATGTCCGATTTTATACCAGAGGTTAACATCAGTGGAGTCCAGCATGACAGCCTAGGAGCAGCACAAGCAGAAGACACACAGTCAGTTCTCTCGCTGATGGGAGGAGCACGGCACGGACTGAGCCACTCAAACTACCCAGGAAAATGGGAAACAGAAGTACAAGGACCAGTTCTTTAATTCAGAACATTTTCTTGATATGCCACTCCAAATATCTGTATCCTTATATGTTTGGCAGGTAAAGGAAGAAAAATTGAAAGAAACACAGCAATCTAAAAAGATTATGGGATCTGGTGAAAGACCTCTCAGTTCATACCCCTGCTCCTACCCTAACTAGCAGTGCAGTGTGCTCCTAAGCCTCAGTCTCCTAATTACTAAACTGTGTATAAAGCTATCTTCTTTGCAAAATAGCGTGAGGATTACCACATGCATGGAGAGCAGGTAGCATGGTGTTTGGCATAGCAGAGGTACCCACAAAGATGGTAACAGTAATGCAGAAATAATAACACTGTTACTATTACAAACTGTCTAACTCTGTTCTTAGCACTTATACATGTCCCAATTCAATTAACTGTCATATTACCCTATATTGGTGTAGACATGGAGACCCAGAGATATTTAACAGCTTGCCATGGTCACGGGCAGAGGAAGAATCTGTTCTCTGAGACTCTCTGGACCTACTTCTGAGACCCACTGAACAGGGCTTTGGGCACTACAGTATGGTAATGCATCGTTCCAAACTCTTGACTCTTTACAGTCAACAGGCCACAACTTCACCTCCTTCAACAAGAACTTTCAAACACAATGAGAGAGCTGAGCATTGCCAATGCCACACCTCCAAGTAGAATTCCATGGCTGTCTCTAGGTCCTCTCGTTGGGCTGCCAGCTGGGCCAGGTTCTTATATGTGGAATATTTCAGCATCAGTCCAGGGTGTTTTAACCCCTCTTTTTCATCGCCAGATGAAACTGCCTGAGAACAAAACAGAGGAATGAAAGTAACACTGGGCTCTGAATCTTCAGTAGACAGCAGGACACGCAGCTTTCAGGCTGGTGTTTGCTGCAGTTCATTGCGCTAGACTAGTGCCAACCTCAATGGAAAGTGAAAGAGCTCCACCAAGTGTTCTTAAAGAGACCCTGCAGCTCCAGGCACACAGAATAATGGTCGGATTACTACAAGATAGTTTACAGGCAGTGTGGCCACCAAAAGAGAGGGAATCCTCTCATCATTGCCCCATGCCTGAGGATTCAAGCATAGTGTCAGCGCTCCATGTGGCAAGTATGAAAAATGAGCAAAGTGAGTGAGGCCACTGCTGAAGGGATATGGAGGGGAAGCAGACAGGGTCTGGAAAGAGCTGTACCTGGCACGTAACTTAAATTAAACATGCTCATTATAAACAACTGAAAAGTATAACAAATAACAGGAAAGTTTCTTTTTAGTGTTATCTGGCCTTAGTGTATTAAATGACATTTGCAAAAATGTGCTGTCAAAAGGATCATTAGGTATCAGAAACTGTCCAATCCTGGCTTTATTGTTTTACTAGGTACATGACTTTGAGTCACTGACATCTCACTAATCTTGCTTCCATATCTATAAAAATGGGGCTAACACCCCCTACCTATTGGCAGAGTCATTGTGAAGATATAGTACTAACAATAGTTGACACTTATGGAGCGCTTACTATGTGCCAGGAACAGTTTTACATGCTTCACTAGATTTACTCAACCTTCATAGGAACCCAGCAAGTCTAACTGGACAGCTAAAGAAACTGAGGGCCAGAGGGAAAACAACAAGACCAAGATTACCCATCCAAGAATTAGGCGATATAGGTCAGAACCAGGACACCTAACTCCAGGCTCCACTTCCTGGTCTGCTGGTGTCTTACCTCTCGCAGCAAGCGTGCCTCCAGGAGTTCATGGTAGGCTTTGGCAGATTCCTCAAACCGATCATGTTTCTGCAGATCCAGGGCCTTATGATATAAGGCAAAAGCCTCTGCTTCCTGTAAACCAAGATAGGAGACATTTTTACACAGTAAAAGGTTTGTCACAAAAGTACACATAAGGCAAGCTGCATCAAGGCCATGTTAACTGTCAGCTACATCCTCTGCTTTGGAAGCAATCCTAACACTCCTACCTCCCAGAAGCTCCTCATTGGAAGAAGAACCCCTTTGAGGCACCAAGGAAACAAGAGCAATACAGGTTCACATGAGTTGATGCAATAACGAAAATGCAGATACCCAGGGCACAATGTTAGAGCAATGCTGAGATTATGAGCCCAACCTTCTGGTTGAAGTTAGGAGAGTCAAAAAACTAAAGACAAAGAGAGTACAGATGGTTCCCATCTCTTTCTACCAGCCACTCTGCACTAACTTGATCATTAATCAGGGAAGGCAACAGTATCTGCCAGGACAGAGTCCGCATTGCTAATATCCCTTGAAGGCCACGGACAATTGACCAGCAGACTTTTAAAAGGGCTCCAGACTAGCTGGAAAAGATCA